GAAGAAGTGGGCTGTAGTCCACGAAAGCTTATGCTCTAATAAATTTGTTAGTCTCTAAGGTGCCACAAGTACTCCTGTTCTTCTTTTTGCGGATACAGACTAACACGGCTGCTACTCTGAAACCAATCAGCAGTAGGTATTTGATTAAACTGATAGTAAAGGTCTTAAGCAGTTCATTTTGTAATTCATATTTATCATCTTAATTTTCCCCTGTATGTTGATCCCATAACACATTTAATTGAAATAGCAAACTTTCTGTACTTGTCTTTATGGATTTTTTCCCAATAGAAGACACATTCAGTCATTCAGTACTAGGATGTTTTGGTCAATATCTGTCTAAAGACCAGAATCTAGAAGCTAATGGCACAGGTATCCGAGAATTCTTTCACCACTCATTCTGCAATTGAACTAGATTCAAACCTGTTGCTCTCTGCAGACGAGCTGTGTGTAGCTGTTTTTGAGCTGCACTGGCATTAAAGGACTGATGCTGTGGGAAGGTGATTTATTCATGTCTATTTCCTAAGGGCTAGAAGGACTCATGCCCTGGAGCCCTGCACAGCTCAGAAGCAGAGACCCAGAGGCAAGGGCACAGAAACAAAGTTGATAAAGCCAGAAGGGCCATTTTGATCCTCTACTCTGACCCCAGCGTAACACAGGGCGTACAATCTCCACAAGGGTACCTGATTCCAGCCAAGCTTCTATGTTATCCGTGGGCCAGAATTAAAAGATGGAGACAGGCACCTACTGGGATTTATCAATACTCCTAAGTGAGCCAGGTGACTAAATCCTATGAACATTCAGTGAGAGTTAGGCACCTGACCTGCTCAGATGCTATTGTAACTCCCCAAAGGCTGCTTTCTCCTTCTTTAGGTGCTTAAACCCTTTGTAATCCTGGTCCTGTGTCTATCTTGTTAACTTCTAAGGCCTGGAAATATGGGTTCTAGTCCCATGTACCTCCAATATGTCCTTTGGCAACACTGAGATAGACTGCCTTTAACTGGTGGTTCAACTCTGAGTCTAGCGGTGCTAGTGTGCATAAAACATAGCCACAGTTTATCAGCTCTGCTGCTTATTCAATTTTTACCTTCCATGAACTATCCCTTTGACACAGAAACAAACCCAGTTTCACAAGAAAAAATGGTTTTGAAATGATGGTATTATTCAACAGGATTAGTGTTCCCCACATGTTTAAAGCTCCATTTCAAATTAGAGATGTTTGGAAATTTAGATATATATTTTTTGTAGTAGTAGGAAAATGAATTTTTGAACTAAACAAAGATGTTCAGGGAAAGTATCTTCTATACTGAGATGTTTGGTTTGGTTTGGTTTGGTTTGGTTTGGTTGAAATCTGCAAATCCCAATATTCTTTGGTTTGCAATGTATAATTTCCAGTTTACAGTAGTTTTTAGCAGAAAATAAATTAGTTTATAGTTGCCAAACCCTGCAAATATTTCTGATGCAAAGTCAAAATTATCCACCTTCTTTTTTTCTGACTGGATCTAGATGTCTGACTAGACAGAGTTAAATCCTTAAAGAGTTCAAATTGTAACTTATATTTAGGTTCTTATATTCTGCTGGAAAGAAATCGGACAGGCTCTAGATGTTTGAATTACAATTCATATATCTATTGTTAAATTGGTCTCTATATTAATACCTTCACATATATAATTGAAAGCAAAAATTGATCCTCCAGCTCCAGGATTCTTTGTTCATCTCTCTCTCATGCCCCCATCACTGTATTATCCAGTGGCAGTTTCCATGTCACTTCGCTGGATTTCCTGAGTCTCTCTGCAGTCCCTTACAGACAGGGATCCACTCCACAGATGAGTGCTCCCTGCTCACTTCTTTGGACAGACTTGGCTGAGAGATGAAGGACTAAATGGGATCAGAGACTGAAAACTCCTCCCAGCTCCTGGCTTGTGCAGGGTTCAGCCATGGTCACAGCCCAGGATGTCCCTGCTCTGAGGCTAAATATTTGAATCCAGTCTCCAAGGCTTTAAGCTCAGCTCTGATCTCATCTCTGGAGCAAACCACCCTGACAACCTGCCCAACTCTAACCTTACAGAGGGAGAACAGCACCGGCACTGGATCTCACATGATGGCAGCATCCCTGGAAGGACCGTTGGCTAAAAAACAAGGCAGGGAAGAAGCCCAAAGCATGTCCCAAGGTGCTTGCAAAATAAAACAGGGATTTCTAACACAGACACATGATCTACAATAGCTAAGAGCCTAGTGGCACCAGAATCTCAGCTGGCCTGGAATAGCCTGTTCCTTCATTAACACCACATAATCACTTCTGGGTGAGCAGAGATGTTTTTTCCCTCCTGCATTGTATCAGCAGCTCATGGAATGCATCCGCTAGAGGAGCCTACAGCTCAGGTTGCCCTGTCTGCTTGAAGTCAGTCACCAAGAGGTACCCAGAGGTGAAGATTTAAAACTAAGGGCCAGGTCATAAGCTTGTGTAAATTGTTACATTTTCATTGAATTCATGGTAATTTGAACTATTTACGTTAACTGGGAATCTGGGCCTTTGATTTCTGTCGTCGGTGGCAATTTAAATCAGCTGGGGATTTAGCCCATTACACAGCTGTAAATCCATATTTTTTGCCTGCCAATCTGATCTGAAGCTGATTCAAAGTTCTGAACCAGTCCGCACTTTCTTAGCTCTTTGCCCCATGGGTTTAATTACAAGAGTAACTTGACGGAGAATGGTTCAATCCCACTAGGGATAGAACCTTGGAGGAATTCTGTGTTGCACAGTTTTCAAGTATCTGATCTTCAACTTCTGTTGAGATGAATGGCCCAGAATCTTTTTCTCTTTCTTTCTTTCTTGCTGTCTCAGCCATTACATTAATATTTCTCTTACTACGGACAGCAATAAACTAAAAAGCTCAGTGGGGACATGTCTTCTAGGAAGTGCACAAAGATCCCCAACCCATTTCTTAAGGCCACTATGAAGCTATCACAAGACAGAAACTTTCAGGCTTATGCCAACATAGTCACCAGCGGCCTGGCGGGGGAATGGTCCCTGTGCACTCCTAGGCAGTGTTGAATGCAAGGCTGGATGTTGATCACTGCAAAAGTCAGGGATGGATGGTTCTGTTTGGCCAAGGATGAAGAGAGGGGCCATTTGTAAAATCTGACAATAGATAATTTTCCACTTGACCAAGCCCTCAGCTGGCATTTTCAAAGCCGCCTTATTTTCAAAGCTGTCCACCTACCACTGACTGTCAGATATCCAATGAACAACAGCCTTTTACTTATATCCTGCTGGGACCAGATTGTTCTGCATGATCTAGAGGTGAGATGGGAGCGGTCCTATAATTTTAAAACCTCAAACTCATGAATGTTTGGTCCTGGGGTCTGTGTTCAGCTCACGTTAAAGAGAGAGGGCCATCTGTAGAACCTATTTCTAGATATGGCTGCAGTTTACAAAGCCCTTCAGTGTCAGGAAGGGCTCAAAAAGAGTGTTTTTGGATCTGTCTCCAGTCTTCTGGGATGATATTGTTAAAGCCTCTTTAGGGGATATCAGACACTCCAGGCTAGATTCACAGAAGGAATTAGGCCCTGATTTTTTAAGGTATTTACGCATGAAGTGGGACTTTCAAAACATCTTTTGATTTCAATCAGATTTAGGTACCTAAATGCTTTTGAAAATCCCACCTGGACACCTTTTAAAATCTTGCCTTTCGGTATTCTAACGCTGAGCATTGCAGCATGTAACTTTTAGGCACTTAGAAAATCACCATGAGTCACAAAGCCGGTGTTCAGTGCCCAGGCTCCCTGTTC